CCCCAAAACCCCAAAACCCCAAAACCCCAAAACCCCAAAACCCCAATGAGTCCTTATCTATTTAAAGAATATAATTTTAATATTAAGAACACCATATCAAGATGTATGACGAAGAAGAATCCAAGTACACACGAGTTCGTGGAGCAGTCAAAATAGAAGAAGAGAAAGGCGGATACCTCTACGTCCAACTTAGAAAGTTTATCAACGTTATTGATGAACTCAGAGATGTCGGACTCCAAGAACATATCAGTCTCCCAAGGATCGCAGTCCTTGGACAGCAGAGTTCGGGTAAAAGTTCAGTGCTCGAGAACATTGTGGGAATCGACATGCTTCCAAGAGGAGCAGGACTTTGTACAAGGAGACCACTGGAAATGAGACTTAACCATCTTTATGAGGATGATGCCAAGCCATGGGCCAAATTCGACGAAGTTCCTGGGGAGAAGTTCACAGATTTCTCCAAAGTCAGAGATACTATCGAAAAGTTAACCGATAAAGTAGCTGGAACCAACAAGAATATTGTTGATGAACCAATTGTAGTATATGTGTACTCCCCCACTTGTCCAGATTTGACATTAGTTGATTTGCCAGGACTCACACGTATCCCACTGGCAGGCTCGAACCAACCAGACGACATTTACGAAGTTACCAAAAAGATGGCACTGAAGTATGTTGAAGATCCGCGTACAATTATCTTGTGTGTCATCCCAGCCAATGCAGATATGACAACTTCAGATGCTTTGCAGCTGTCAAGAGAGATTGACCCCAAAGGAATCAGAACTGTTGGAGTCATCACAAAGATAGATATTATGGATCATGGTACCAATGCTAGAAGAATGCTGATGGGCCAAGAAGTTCCATTAAGACTCGGATATGTTGGAGTCAAAAACAGAAATCAGCAATCTATCATAGACAAGCAATCAGTCAAAGCTGCATTGAAAGAAGAAAGAGAGTTCTTTGAAAACCATCCAATTTATTCTTCGATAAACTCGAATCTTCTCGGAACAGATGTTCTGACACAAAAGTGTACAAAGATTATGTTTACTCACATCAAAAGTCATCTTCCTGACATTATGAGAGAAATCAAAGAGAAAATGGGACAGATCAATGCAAGACTCAAAGACCTTGGGCCTCCAATGCCATCCTCATCAAAAGAGAAGGCTCACTTGCTCTACAACATGGTCACTGAGTTCTGAAATCTATTCAAGTCTGTCATTGGAGGAAAGTACGATTCCAGAAGAGACAGGACTCAATCTAAAGAGATCTATGGAGGAGCAAGAATCAAAATGCTCTTAGAGAATGTTTACAGAGAGTACACTGGCAAATATCAAGCCACAAAAGATCTCACAGATCTCGACATCGAAAAAGCAATTATTATGCATGAAGGTGACTCTCTGCCTGGATTCCCTTCAGTTGATGTATTTGTATACCTGATTACTCCAGAACTCAAGAAGCTGCAAGACCCAGCTCTTGATCTCCTTGCAGAGTGTCATCTCTACATTGAGCAGCTGGCTGAAGAAATCGCTCAGAAAATCTTCTCAAGATTCCCAGCAGTTGTGAACGACATTATGGAAATTGTCTCAAAAGTGTTGATGGAGAACAGAGACAAGACAGGAAAAGTTGTTGAAGCAATCATTGAGTCAGAAGAAGGATACCTGTTTACCAATGACAGAGAATATATGGAGAAATGCACAGATATAGTTCCAGCCGATGATCAAGATGGTAAGGAGGGAGCTCCCAGAAAAGCTAGTCGTAACCAGTCTTATGTAAATGAAATAAGAAAGAGACTTGACATGTACTTTAAGATTATAGTAAGAGGTATTAGAGATTCAGTGCCCAAAGCCATCGGGTTCTTTTTAGTCAATGGTATTCAAGAACACATCCAGTATGAGTTATATGCAGAGGTTAATAAAAATGAAACAATGGCTGAGACTTTGGGAGAACCCCCAGAGGTCACGGCTGAAAGAAGAACATTAAACACTAGTTTGGATACAATGAAGAATGCTCTCAAGGTCCTACAAAGAGATCCTGAAATCACTGCAACTTTAGACTACGATGATGAGCTATCAAGAGATATTAAAGAATCTTTGAAAGAAGCCAAGTTGCAGAAAGAGAAAGCTTCTACTCCTTCACCACATCCTCGAGGAGCTCCTCACAGAGGAGGAGATATGAGAAGTCAGCATTCAGACTCTTCCAGACTCGACATGTCAAATATGAGCATGGCTTCAGACAATTCACAAAATAGAAGAGGGCCTCCAAATGTTGGTCAACCTCAGAGACCTGGGCCCAACCACATGCAGAATTCAGGCACTCCACAAAGAAGGCCAGCTCAGGGTCCAATCTAACATAAAGGATAAAGTTCAATTATTTCTATTTGATAAGGGGTTTTGGGGTTTTGGGGTTTTGGGGTTTTGGGG